TGCAAGGAATTTGGTTCAAACCGTTATATGAGAGCTATACCAAAATGTGGACTGATATATCCCATTTTCAATACTGAACATTCAAAAGATTCTCTATTCAATATTGCGAGCTCTAATCTTATTTCAGCAGACCACATAGAATTATATACAGATCAAGTATATACAGTTGTGTTTACAAAAATAGTAGTGGAATTGATCAATTTACAAATGCCATTCAAACAACCAAATTCGTCATTGGTATACACTTTTTTAAGAATGGAATCTAAAGATCATGAAAACGAATAACGTCCCGAGAGATTTGCATTCTAAACTTCCTCTAGTTTGGTAGAATTCATGAAAAATGTACTGTTTATTAAAATAGTAGTTGTCGAAGTGAATGTTAATAAAACAGATAAATAATGCCAAAAATAAGTGTTTTGTAAACAAGCACTATAGTGCCGTTTGATGGTATTAATTTTTAGTGGAAAGAGGAAAACCTTGCACGGCTGCGTCAAGAGGGTTGATAACAATGTACAAAGACATGAAAAATATCATTGGATACAGTGCTACAAGGGTATTCAACGCAATAACATATAAGAAAAGGCTTGAACAATGTATCCGTAGGCGTAACACTAGAAACAAACAGCATCCAAAACAGCAAACTCGCAAAGTACTGATTTGTATCAGAAATGACTGACGTAATGCCACGGCCTGTGCAGTCACCGGATATTAATCGGATAGAAAACTTGTTGGCAGATGTAGGACGATGTGTGACCAATGCCAAACCAACAACTAAAGCCGATCTATGGAATGCAGTGCAACAAATATGGGCCCAAATACCAGAACAGCGATGCAAGGACCTAATCAACTATACCCCTGACGTTACGAGGCTGTAATAAAAATAAGGGATTTACAACAAAATACCGCTGCTTTTATCCAAAAAGTTAGTGCTTTTTTTCCTATTAAGATTATTACTACTATTTTTATGAACAGAGCAAATTTGGACAATTTTCTTTTATTATTTTTTTAATAGAAAACATATTTTATCCGGAATAAATGTGTTGAAAATAATAAAAAGAAATATTTTGTTTTTGCAAAATAGTCAGGCTTAATCCCAGTTTGTTGTTTTTATAAAAAACAACTATTTATTAGTGGGGAATGTATGGCATTGTCCGCCGAGAGGTAAGGCAGGGAAGACTATCTGGGGAGAATATCCCAACAAAAAACTAAGCGAATTGATGAGGATCAGTGGCGAGATCCGAAACTATAGTCTTCCCTGCCTTACCCCTCGGCGGACAATGCCATACATTCCCCATAGTTGTTTTTTATAAAAACAACAAACTGGGATTAAGCCTGACTATTTTGCAAAAACAAAATACAAATGGTATCCCAAATAACCCGCCAACACTACTGAAGTTGTAGACGAGGCACGGTCATACTGTTTGGTTTATTGCTTTAACTAGCAATACCAACAACAACGTTATGTGCATTCGTCACAAAGTGACGACACATAGGAGTGGGAAATGTATTGTAGTTGTCTGTAAATGCCTTGTTGACCACGAAGTCAGGCGCCAACGAAACGAACTTCTCATTGGGGTCGTATCGCTGGTAACGTAAGAACTTCGAATTGTCACAAGAGACATTTGGGTTTGAAAGGTTTTTTGTAAAGAAGCTATTAATAGCTTCTGGGGAGAATATCCCAACAAAAAACTAAGGGAATTGATGAGGATCAGTGGCGAGATCCGAAACTATAGTCTTCCCTGCCTTACCCCTCGGCGGACAATGCCATACATTCCCCACTAATAAATAGTTGTTTTTTATAAAAACAACAAACTGGGATTAAGCCTGACTATTTTGCAAAAACAAAATACAAATGGTATCCCAAAAAACCCGCCAACACTAATAAAAAGAAATAAAACAATTTTTCTATTGAAAAAAAAAAAACAATCCAAAATGTCCTGAGAATGTAATGGTAGTAATCCAAAGGGTACTGCGAATCCATAAAAATAATAATTTCAAAGATATGCTACTTCATGAGAACCCAACTTCTACAAAAATATGAAGTTTGAAAGGAACATTACACAATATGTACCCAAAGTACGGGTGAAAAAACGTACCCAAAATCGTCAACATGGTAATGGTATATATGCCCCGAATATTATGTCAATATAAATAGTTTTTGGTTAGAATATGTACTACTCACGGAAAACCCAAAATACCAAACCAATAGTTGGTATCGTTTTATTGGGGTGGATCCTAAGAGCCTCAGAAATACTTCTATGAGAATTGATGCATTCGTTTTACAGAAAAAAGAATCATGTGGAATTCTTTTATATCGAATTTTGGACAATAAAAACTAAGATACCAGTTCAATGAAAATAGTCGAAAAATAATACATTTTTAGTCTATTATGAGATGAAATTATGTTCTAATCATGTTATTTATTTAAACAACAAATATATTTGTTGTATTGTTTTATCTTATCTCTTCTGGCAGCTCACTGTCCAAAACAATTAAACAAAACAGTGATACTTCAAAAGTACTCGAAATTTAATCTGCCGAAACATAATTCCCTATGTTTAAATAAAAACGACAAGAACGAACATGTTAAATATTTGCTCTCCTATTGCGATAAAAGATCGCTCGCATGCATGTACAGTTGGAATTTTTAAAAATATAAGAATGTCCCCCTATTTATATTTTCAAAAATTCCAACTAAGCTATTTATACGAAAATAGTCTTAAATTAGGGTAGTTCACTGTAATTCTAATTGAGGAATTTTGCAGCCACAACAATGAGAATGTCAAGACGACGCACAGTGGGTTAGAATACCCTGTTTCCTTGGATTAATTAAAAAATTAAATTTTAAGTATCGTTAAAAATTTTTGCACACGGTTAAAGTATATAAAATTCTACATCACTTGTCGTTGAAATAAATGTCAAAAGTGGACTGGTGTTTTTGTAGTGAAACTTCAAAGTCAAACTTCATACAAATTTTTATGCCAAAAAAGGCTGAAAAAAGTGAAAACGTTCCCGTTGAAAATTTTATTTATTTTAAAAAGTATTGTAAAAGTTAAAAATTTTTCAACGGAACCATGAAGTTCAGGTTATTTTGCAAATACTTCGTTAACATTTGAGTATGAAATTGTGTTTGGAAGTGATAAAGATTTAGTTATTTATATTGAAAATGCCAAAAAAAATAATATTTTTATATTTTAAATGGATAAATAGTTATTATTCGTCCACATTCGTGTCATAATTTTTGGTTTATATTAAAGAGGACATAAATCTGTGTTATATTGCAAAATTTTACGCTGCCCTTTTGTGCCTTTTAGAAGCTATGCATTGTTTAATACAAGTGTTGCAGCAGTCAAATTAGCTAAAAGTCACATTGATCTCGTGGCTGGTGCTGTTGTTGAGTGTTGTGTTTTCTTGTTTTTCATATTATTTTTTTCTAATTATTTTATTGTTGTTATTTTTGTTTCTTTTAATAATATTCTTTGTTACAATAATATTTTGTTTTTGTTTATTTTAATAATATTCATTGTTTTGACAAATAGTGATTGTGTTGTGCAGTTTCAAGTAGTCGGGTAAAAGGGTTCTTCTTCATTAGCATTTTTTATAGGTACAAGTTCTAACGTTGTTTTTTATAATCGTCGAAGCTTATGATGAATTCGACCGCTCAAACAATGAATGACAAGATGACATTTTTAGCTAAAGAAATCAAAAAACGCTAAAAAAAATCTGCCGAAATAACAAAAATATATGTTAATTTAATAAAAATGCACGTGTCGGTTATAGCTGTATCCAGTGGCCATGAGATTAATAATGAAAAATTTCAAATATATTCACACAATACCGGACGACTTTTTGTATCCTTGGTATAATATGTCTACCACTTTGCACAAGTTTTTTATTCACGGACCCGAAATTGTGGCAAAAGCCCTTTTACATATTGAGCAATTATCAGAAGTTGGTGATGCTGCGGACAGAGATGGCCTGTCAGAAACAGTGACGTAAATGACATACATTTCCGACGTATAATACATACGTCAGAAACGTCGGAAACCCACTCAAAACCATTATGTTTTTTATAACATAGCTATTTACATTTATCGATTTGGAAATAACGATGCTTTACTCAAATTCATATCGAATATCACAATTTTTTTCTTAAAAAAATTCAGAATTTTTTATCAGTTCTAGTAAAGAATAGCCAGATATACAGTAAAAATAATATATGTTCTTGAAAATTACTGTATATGGTAATAATATTGAAATAAATGACGTTTACTACATTTTATACAGGTATATGACGTTTTCGACGTTTACACCTTTTTGACAGTCGAAAACCTGAAAATTCGTCATACGGACCATCCCTGGCTGCGGATGATGACGATGTGGATGATTAACTTTAAGATGTATAAAATTCAATGTTTAAGTTATCATATTGTACTCCTTGCACTATATACCTACACTGATATTTGGCACTACTTAATAAAATTATACTCAAATATACTTAGAAAACATTTTTTTAACTTATTTTAATGGTATTAACTGAAAATTGAAGAAAAATTATTCTAACATAGCTTCCCTGATTTGATCCAAGAAAACATGGTACTCTAACCCACTGTGCGACGTCGAAACAACAACAACAACATACGATGCGGTCGTATTTCATTCTTTCTGTAGAAATGACGTATAACACAATGTTCTGAGAGGTTCATGTATTATTTTGGGCGGAAGTGAGAGGACGATAGGCAATTTAGTTTTGATTCAATTAAAAAACAAAAACACTGTAAATCGCATAACAAAGGTTCGCCAAATTCTCAAATAAATAAATAAATAAAGTGAACGCATAGCTGGTAAGCTCAATCATAACTATATCAGTTTTTCGCGAAACTTCAACAGAATCGCACACAAATTACAAAAAATAACAGAAAATTAGTTACAAAACTACACTCCTTGAGTTTCTTAAGTCAAATAAATCCGATTTTTTTGAAGATTTCTTTGAAGTTAAAATGAAACACACATCGTTGTTGACAATCGCATTGCTCATGACCTTGGCGGTCCTCAGTGCCAATGCAGACTTATTTGATTGTGATGATAAAATTTTACCATCACTCTCCGAAATACCTGGTATTGGACCGAAAATAGCCAGCACCGAAGATACTGGGGACAAGGTTAAGGGTGTCTTCAAGGATTGGGGCTGTAAATTCAAGAAAACTGCCAGCGATTTTGGTGACAGTGTCAAGGAGAAGTCCAAACAGCTGGGTGAAGATGTTCGTGATGGTTTCAAAAAACTCACCGAAAAATCCAAGGAACTGCATACGAAAATCGAAGCGAAGTTCCATGATTTCAAAGATCATTTGAGTAAGGATTCCGCTGAATTTGTACCACACAAGGATAAGAAATTCGTTTTGGAAAATGTTGAAATGATAAATCCCGACAAATTGAAGGCCGATCAGGAATGTGGTCATGGATTTATTTTGGATGTATTGGGCAATTGTAAACAAGTGAGAAAATAAAATGGGAAAGAGAAAAGCAATTCAAAGGCAAATTGGGATGGAGGGAGATATGAAATGAAGATTTGAGGATGAGATTGTCGTTTTTGTATAAATATTTTTCTTTATAAAAATGTGTGTTTTTTAAATAAATAAAAGAAATCAAATTAGTTTTCTATACGATTTTTTAATAAATATAATCTGTGATTTAAAGAAAGTGTGTGTTTTTTCAATCATTCGTAGACCCCATATACCTATAATAGTGAGTTTTTCAATTATTTATGAAACCATAAAGCCTGGATTTGTTAAAGAATTATTTTTAACCACATATGGAACCATAAGCGTGGATTTTTTAAAGAATTATTTTCGATCACCATATGCGTGGATTTTTTAAAGAATTATTTTAGTAGGCCTTTCATCAAGGCGTGGATTTTTTAAAGAATTATTTTAGGAGGACCTAGGCGTGGATTTTTTAAAGAATTATTTTAGGAGGACCTAGGCGTGGATTTTTTAAAGAATTATTTTAGGAGGACCTAGGCGTGGATTTTTTAAAGAATTATTTTCGATCACCATAAGCGTGGATTTTTTAAAGAATTATTTTCGATCACCATAAGCGTGGATTTTTTAAAGAATTATTTTCGATCACCATAAGCGTGGATTTTTTAAAGAATTATTTTCGATCACCATAAGCGTGGATTTTTTAAAGAATTATTTTCGATCACCATAAGCGTGGATTTTTTAAAGAATTATTTTCGATCACCATAAGCGTGGATTTTTTAAAGAATTATTTTCGATCACCATATGCGTGGATTTTTTAAAGAATTATTTTCGATCACCATATGCGTGGATTTTTTAAAGAATTATTTTCGATCACCATATGCGTGGATTTTTTAAAGAATTATTTTCGATCACCTATGGAACCATAAGCGTGGATTTTGTTTAAGAATTATTTTCAACCTTCCATGGACCCATAAGCGTGGATTTTTTAAAGAATTATTTTCAACCACCTATGGAACCATAAGCGTGGATTTTGTTTAAGAATTATTTTCAACCTTCCATGGACCCATAAGCGTGGATTTTTTAAAGAATTATTTTCAACCACCTATGGAACCATAAGCGTGGATTTTGTTTAAGAATTATTTTCAACCTTCCATGGACCCATAAGCGTGGATTTTTTAAAGAATTATTTTCAACCACCTATGGAACCATAAGCGTGAATTTTTTTAATTCATAGACCCATAAGTGTGGATTTTTTAAAGAATTATTTTCAACCACCTATGGAACCATAAGCGTGGATTTTTTAAATAATTATTTTCAACCACCTATGGAACCATAAGCGTGGATTTTGTTTAAGAATTATTTTCAACCTTCCATGGACCCATAAGCGTGGATTTTTTAAAGAATTATTTTCAACCACCTATGGAACCATAAGCGTGGATTTTGTTTAAGAATTATTTTCAACCTTCCATGGACCCATAAGCGTGGATTTTTTAAAGAATTATTTTCAACCACCTATGGAACCATAAGCGTGAATTTTTTTAAGAATTATTTGCAACCACCTATGGAGCCATAAGGGTGGATTTTTTAAAGAATTATTTTCAACCTTCCATGGACCCATAAGCGTGGATTTTTTAAAGAATTATTTTCAACCTTCCATGGACCCATATGCGTGGATTTTTTAAAGTATTATTTACAACCATTCATAGACCCATAAGCGTGAATTTTTTAAAGAATTATTTCTAACCATTCATAGTCCCATAAGTGTGGATTTTTTAAAGAATTATTTTCAACCACCTATGGCACCATAAGCGTGGATTTTTTTTAAGAATTATTTTCAACCACCTATGGAACTATAAGCGTGGATTTTGTTTAAGAATTATTTTCAACCTTCCATGGACCCATAAGCGTGGATTTTTTAAAGAATTATTTTCAACCACCTATGGAACCATAAGCGTGAATTTTTTTAAGAATTATTTGCAACCACCTATGGAGCCATAAGCGTGGATTTTTTAAAAAATTATTTTCAACCTTCTATGGGCCCATAAGCGTGGATTTTTTAAAGAATTATTTTCAATCTTCCATGGACCCATATGTGTGGATTTTTTAAAGAATTATTTTCAACCATCTATGGAACCATAAGCGTGGATTTTGTTTAAGAATTATTTTCAACCATCTATGGAACCATAAGCGTGGATTTATAAAATAAATATTTTCAACCACCTACGGAACCATAAGCGTGGATTTATAAAATAAATATTTTCAACCACCTATGGAACCATAAGCGTGGATTTATAAAATAAATATTTTCAACCACCTATGGAACCATAAGCGTGGATTTATAAAATAAATATTTTCAACCACCTATGGAACCATAAGCGTGGATTTATAAAATAAATATTTTCAACCACCTATGGAACCATAAGCGTGGATTTGTAAAATAAATATTTTCAACCGCCTATGGAACCATACGCCTGGATTTTTAAAATAAATATTTTCAACCACATATGGAACCATAAGCGTGGATTTTTTAAAGCATTTCTTTCGAGTTTTTTTAATTCATTTATTACGCGGCATTTGATACTTTTCACACTACACCAATTTACAGACATCTTACACATCTTACTTACACATCTAAAGATTAACAAAACTTATAGTTCTTAGTAATCTAGAAGTGATTCATTTAATCTTCTCTCATTTGATGACTTTCTTCGAAGATGAATAACATAGAAATATAAATACGAAAATGATGATTATAAATAAGTTGTGGACCACCCGCTGCATGTTAGCCGGTGGGTCTCACACAAAAGTGCATATTCTTCAGTGAATACACAAAAGATCAGCAATTGAATTCTATTAAAAATGAGTAGTGGAGGTCTTACATGGGATGGGAGACAATTTGCCTATATTAAATTAAACAAAAAAGAAAAATAAATCACTTAACAGTATTGTTGAATATGTCTAACGACATAATAGTATCAGAACTACTATCAGTCGAACAAGCAACGTCAGAGCAACAACTACACAACCGATAAGAGAATTAAAAAAAATAATAAAAAAACTACAACACGATGAAACATCAAGTAATATTTATAGCTGCATTAATTTTCCTATTAAGCTTTGGTGCCACCAAGGCTGATTTACTGCACTGCGATGAGGATGATGATAAACTATCAAGCGGTGTTGCAGATGCATCAATAATTGGTCACAAAATCGAAAGTGAGGAGATTGCCGCGGGAAACAAAGTAAAGGATGTCCTCAAAGAATGGAGTTGTAAACTCAAGAAGAGTACAGCAAATCTGGGGGCCAATGTCAAAGAGAAAACCAAACAATGGTCGGAAAATATACGCGAAGGCCTAAAGAAACTCAAAGAAAAATCTAAAGATTTGGGAAAGAAAATCCAAACTAAATATAATGATTTCAAGGATAATTTGAAACAGGATTCAGCTGAGTATCTTGAACGTGGCACGGAGAAGAAATTGTTGTTTAAACCTGAGGAAGTCATTGATACTGACGTGGTGATAATCGATACTCAAAAATGTGGTAATGGCTATATTTTAGATGCCTTGGGTAATTGTAAGAAATTTCGCGAATTTACCGAGATCATTAATTAACTAAGTGAAATGAGTGTATAAAATTAAGTTAAAAAAGTGAATGTATATGCTAAGAATACACCAAAAATTACTACGTTAAGGCGTGGGAAAATTTGTGTTATGAATCATAGTAGAATAATTGTAACAAAATATTTAGAGGATATCAATAAAGTAATTCAACTATGCTTATAAAATATATACATTTGAAAAATGTGTTAAATTTGGACAGAGCCGATTTTTTACTATTCTGAACCATGTAAATACAGGCATTTAGTGCAGCAAATAATGTTGGCAAGTGTGGCTAAAAATCCGATATAATAAGACCATGGATGGTTGATAATAATTCTTTA